GCATCGTGCAAAGATTTACTTATAACAAAAAAAATCGAGATAACCTTTTACAGTATAATGGAATCAATTTCACAACTCGGAAAAATGGCTCGAACTTCCGCGAACTTCCGCTAAATCGGAAAACCCTAATACAATTTATTGATAAAGCTAAGTGCTATATTCTAGATAAGTATTACAAGATGTGCATGTTACATAGGCCAATATGAAACAGACTTTAAGTGATCGATACATTTCTCGCAAAACGACTAAATTCTACACCATGTATACCTCCGAGTCACTGCAAAGTAAGTCCGTCGCACGAATTCGGTAATAAGCGACCATGCGAATATGACGCGTTTTACGATCCAACTCAAAGCGCAGTTCAAAACAACAAAGACAATACACAGCTTTATACTACTACATGAGAAATTTCTGCAATTTGATTGGCTTAGAGTAGTGGTATATTTTCAGCTTAATTTGAAATACCTACATGTGAAAATTACAAAACCATCACGGGTAGTAGTATAAACAAATAATGGCATGAATTGTACGTGATATTTGGCATAAATACCACTCGTGATATTTCAAAATTGTCTCAAATTTCACTCGCCTAATGGCTCGTAAAATTACTATAACAATTTCAAAATATCACTTGTGGTATTTATGCCAAATATCACTACAAATAATGCTATTACCTACTCAAAATCCACGTCAAGTAGTTATTTTGAACACGGAGCACAATGCACGACCAGCAGTAGCAAGATAAGGTTCACAGGAGAAGTTATTAAAGTCCCAAAATAAGAATTTTAACTGTTATTGATTTCTAAATATCCAGGGTCTAGGCATACATAAAAATAACTTTACCTACAATCCTTCCCGCAGAGTTTGACCCTACGAGCGCCTTACTACACTCGAAATAAAACAGAACTTAAAACTGAACTCAAGCGAATAATGCTTTTCTGTATTTTAAGGGCAGATGTAGATTTCTTTGTGTTCTTACGAACTTAGTAAATTTCACTTGTGAAAATAAATTAAAACAACAAATATGTTCTCAGATAAATAGTTCAAATGACATAGTTACAATTGTATTGACTGATGTAAATTCAGTGTACAGTTGCCACGCCCCAAAATGCACATGTTGAGAAGCACGTGTGAGCTACTCTGCTTCTAGACGGCGATAGCAGGCGTATTGATGGTTGTCGCTCCTCTCCACCCGAAGAGTAAGGCCGCTTTTATATGGAGAAAACCTAACCTTCTGGATCCTTATAAGTTTCAGAGAAACTGCCCACCAAACCCTCCGCTAAGCCAACACTTTGCCCTAAGTGAAAACTAAGTGTTAATGTTGGCTTAGGGGAGGGGAAGGTGGGCAGTTGCCCAGAAACGTTCCGTAAGGTCACCCTCCTAGCTTTTAGCAAGCGTTTATATGAGAAAAAACTTGACCACCTTGACCAGGCCAACAGCACTCGCGCGCATGCTCGGATTGTCTAAATGCTCCGATTGTCTCACTTTGAGCGAGTTGACCCGGCTGACAAAGTCAAAGTGTTTATATGGAGAAAAGCTGGCCCGGCTAGGAGGGCGACCCTACCATTACAAAAGGGTGACCTGGCTTGCCAAGTCACCCTTGTAGCCGAGCCAAATGTTTGTTTCTCGTGTAAACCGTTCGCCACGTTTTGTAAGAAACTGTATGAAAAGTTGGCTCGCCCAGGATAGCCCGGATTGGAGGGTGAACTTTCTTTACGGGTCATCGTTTGGATCATTATACGTTTCTAGGAAACTGCCCACCTACCCCTCCCCTAAGCCAACATTAACACTTACTTCTCACTTAGGGCAAAATGTTGGCTTAGGGGAGGGGAAAGTGGGCAGTTTTCCAGAAATCCATATGAAATATATCAAATGTGCTTGCTTATTAATATTATGTCCATCACATGTGAAGTACCACGTTGGAATTTGGCCTAACTTAATTGCCTATTCGGGTGGTGAGAACCGACAACCGGAAATAAGTCTGTGTTTACACGCTTCTCTGATCCTGATTGCTTTAAAAAATATTTGCTGAGTTTGACCCCGCAAAAACTAAAAATTAAAAGTTTTAAACTTACTTTAGCAAGCACACTTAAATTGCAAACTGACATCACCAAGCTGACAAAAAAGTCCCCTCTGACTAAGAATACATTATTTTCTTTCAAATGAAACTAAAACATCTTTTTTGGTAGGAAAACACAGCTTAACTCACAGTAAATAACGATACTTTTTCTTGTGTGAAACAAAATGCGAACCTTTACGTGATTATTCTAGACAAGAGCTCCTCCATGAGACCAATAGAACAAGTCCCGACCCTCGGAATAGAAAGTTTGCTGACAGGCTTAGTCCAACAGCAAAGAAATGTTTTAACGTAAAACACGCTATGGATGATGTAGCATGTTGTCTCCAACATCCATAGCATATATTCTCGCTAGTACATACATATAAAAGTGCCACGCAGCTCGCTAATATTTTCCTGTTAACTGTTTTATAAGTTTGAGTTCGCCTACCAGCCAAGATGGCGCTAGAAAATAGAAAAAAAGTTCTACGGTGCTAATTTGTCTTGCACATTTAGTCGACTATTTCAGTCCACGACGAAGGGGTACGACCATACTGAAAAATAAAACAAGAGGATTTGTTTTGGCGCTTATTTACTGCAGATGACAATGCTGAAAGTCGAAACTCTAACAAAAAAAGGCCCGTCACAACAACACTTGGATGCTTTTTATCGTTAATTTACTCCCCACAGCCACCCCCCGCCACCCTATATCATGGCAACAAACGGCAGATGGATCCTCTACGCACACATGCCAGGTGCTGTAAACCTCCCCTTGCGATCACTTAGACCCATCCCTTTCTAGCGGGTGCCACGGAGGTGAAAAAGCCCCCCCCACCCCCCTCCGCCATCCAAAAAAAGCCTCTTCATAATCACCAAGCGCGGCAAAAACTAAGCTGTTTGCGAAACAACACGCACGTGTTTAGACGTCATGTTAACCCCATCGTTACGAGCTCACAGTGCAACGAACTCGACCAGAGGTACCCAACATTAATCGGCCAATCACAGGCAATGTTCACCGCAAAGGAGACTGTCTTATTGGGTTCGTCAAAGCAAAAAGAAAACTAGGCTCGATTTCGGCTGTCTCCCGGGGAGTGGATGAGTGCGGGCTCATTTTACCGAACAGTGGCTGGTAATCGAGCCTAAACAAGAACATGATGATAGCCCCGTTGCATCATAAGACTAAACCTTGTCTGAGAGTGTCAAAAGCGCCGATTTTACCCACCTGAATTGCAGTCAGTTCATAATAAAATCTCTTTGTTACTTCCAAATTCTCCATAGTGGGGATCATAATGTTCTAAATATAAAAAGCAAGAGTCAGCGAGTTTCAATAGCAACTGATGCGCGGGCATCATCCTGAAATCTTACACCGTATTAAAGTGCCGTTTATAAGAAAAAGGAAGGGGTATCACCTTTAATTACCATAATTTCCGTGTTGTTACTGGGACAAATAAAACGATCTATTGAAGCAGCATAAATACGTAGACGAATAACTTCTAATACCATAAAAAGTCTTTAGTGCAAAAGAACGCTATTGAGCTGATTGGGGGAAGTTACTATCCTTTCTTTGTGTTTGCTTTCCTTACCTGTCCCTCGTAAAGTATCCTGTTTACTGGACAAACTACACATGCTGTACCGGCACCAAATATTTCCTTAACCTGCAAAGTTGTCCACAATGAAATAGGGAGCTGAAGTAAAGGCGTTTTTATTCGACGCACGTCACTGCGAGGGGATGGGGGGTTTGGGGGTGGAGGTTGGGGGGTACTCGACAAATCTGATCTTTATACGGGGAGGCTCTGCCCCGAAGGCCAACCCCCTACCCTTTAATGCACCATTCACCACGAAAAAAGTAGCCCTTAGGTAGACCTTCAATTGACACATGGTACTCATTTCACATACCTTGTCTAGGACTTTGCATCCCTTTTAGCTGCTGTAAATGCACCGTCTTTTAAATAGGAATCAATCACAATTTTGAACGTTTTCTCGACTTTATAAAGCCATAAAGTTCATCTGTTGGTCCTTTTGGGCCCTTTCACAGACCCAAATGATAGATTTCCTTTCGAGCAGAGCCTCACCGTATTGGCCATCATAGGGAGTACCCCCCGCCTCTGGACGTCAACGTCTAGCCTTGTTTAGCTTACGTCCCTTACTAAGTTTACCACATTGATTCATTAAATCGAACTGGAATGTTCCTTTTCAAATTAAGAAACACAACTCGAGGGCAAAGAAAACTGATAACAAATATAACTACAAGGTAAGTTGGAAGTTAAGAGGGCGAGCTGTCTCATCTATGGGGCTAAATGACTCTGTACCAGGGGCAAATTGACCGGTTACAACTGAAACCAATAATAGGGGTCAAAAAGGACAACGGCGGCAATGCCGCTTGAAGAAAAGGTTACTATGAAAATAAATTCGTGCTACTTTGCAACTATTGCACATGAGGGTTACACGTTAGTGATACACCAACGCTAGACCGCGAGCGGTCGTCCTTCTTTCCTCAGAGCCACCCGCGGAGAGCGAAAAGGTAACTGCCTCGTTTCTCGTGCTCGCATTCTACCGTGTCTCTAAAGAAAAATATGAGCCTGTTCTGCTCGCAGTCTACACCAACGCGCATGCTGAGGTATTGTCTTCACTCACTAAGCATTTTGTGCCGTTTTATTGCCGTCATCGCTAGGTGTCTTTGCTACATATGTCAATGTTAACAACAGCCTCCCACGCTGACGTTTCAGGGGATTCGTCACACGTTCATCCTGGAGGATTGCATGGCGAGGCAAAAGAGCGTTTGAGTGAGAGGCTATGTTAACAAGTAATGCTTTTTATACCCTGTTTTCGTTTGATGCGCGAATTAAGTCATCCATTGTAAACTCCCTTTCTGTAACTTTGAATTCTCCCTGTGATAAAAATAATAAAAAAAAAATAACCAAGAGAACATTCAAGTAACTACTAGTTATCTGTAAGTTAAGTACCGGTAAGTCTGACTGGTCTTAGAAATGAAAGACAAAGAAGACTGCATACTCTTGACACAGATTGCTTCGCGCCTGATAGATATTGCGAAAAGCTTTTCATGAACCACATACAGACCACTAATAACGTATTTTGATTTGCAGCCTCTTTAGCAGGCACTGTTTTAAAAGTAGTAAGAAAGTTTTATGTAGAGAATAACTAACCCAGCTCTTGGCAAGTTCCAGCAAAGATTTTCGTGTTACTCCTGGAAGAATCAATCCATTGAGGGGTGGAGTGATAAGCTCCTTTTCTGTGCAAAGAGGAATAATGAAGGAAAGTGTTAAAAGAAACGCCGTTTACTTTCATCCAGTCAATCCTTCCAGGCTGGAGGCTGTACATGTTATGATCTTGTCATGATCACAATTTGCATGTTTTACGGGAAAATTTATTTTAATGGCAGCTACTCCAAGATATGACAGGCAACCACAACCCACATGAGACATTCAACCGGGTTCTCCCACCCAACACACAGGATGGGCACATTATCAACTGAGCTCAGACTTTACTTACTGTACGGTGATAACATAATGAGATTAAACACAATTGAGTTAAGGTTCAAATGAGAAAAACTATGCTGGTCTGTGGTCGCTATCAACACGGCCCAGAGGCATGGACTCTTCTTGACCTTGCACATGCATTCACTTGCTTGTTGGTCTGTCAGTAAGGTCATTTTGCCTCCAATTTTTCAAAACTTCCTCCCCCCATACCCCCCTTTCCTCTAGAAGTACCACATTTGGTAATTAGTTCCACTGACACATTCCGTGTGATCACGCCTTTGGTGGTTAGCCTGCGAACCGGCTCACTTGTGCGAGTTCACAGAAACTTTTGATGGTGTGCAAGGAAAATTGGTGCCCCCCCCCCAAACCAAATTTCACCCAAACTTGCTCAAGTGAGCCTGCTTGCAGACTATTTGATTGTCGCCACTCACAGGGTTGCCATAGATACCCCCTCAAGATACCTCCCTCCTTTGGTCTGATAGCTACTTAGCTCCACCAGCCTTTAAGGCACCAGCTCCAAAGCTCATCTATTTCGGATAAGTTAAAATGAAAGATGGCAAATGTTTTAATGTAGGCAATGAAGTGGGAAAAACGCAAGTGAACCTCCAGACACTTGGCCATCCTTCAATCCCTTAGTCCTATAAGGGCCCCCAGAATGAGACTTGTAACAGTCTTACCTCCATTCTCATTAATCCAAAACATGAAGATGTTCATTGTTCCAACTTCAGTAATCTAACACAAGAACATTATTTTAGTAAATAAGCCAGGTACTTCATTTTTATTATTCATGAATTTCTAAAACTTTAGAAGAAAGCATACGGTTAATATAATACAACATAGTGTTACAATAAAAAAAATATCTAATACAACATATTTTTGGGTGCTTCTTGTAGATTGCTGCAGTGCTGGTCTAACACAGTTGCACCATGTTTTGAGAGACAGATAAATGTTACAAGTTCAGGGTTACAAAAAGAGAATATTTGAATTTCCTCTTGTCCTTAGAACATGCAGGAGTCTAAATGCTGCCTGCTGAAGACTGAGTTGCACCCTTATCATCTTTGTGGCACAGCTTTACCAATCAGGCAAGACTATGACTCATTACATTGCCCAATAGAAATAATACAAAGAATAGGAGTATTACTTATTGTGGACTACTGGACAGGTCTTTATCTGAACCCTGTTACCAATTATTTATGAAAAGCAAGAAACAGGAATGGGTTTAGGGCTACATATTAAGAACCGTGAGAACTAATCTTGACCTGGCACATTTGTTAATAATATTATAAATAACGTTCAAGTTAGGAACTTATAACAATGCCTGAATAATATGTTCCTTACAAATAATTATATGTCGTGGTTCAATTCTAATCCTGCTTTAAATTTTATTTCCCTTTGTTTTGGGGTATGGTAATGTATGATAATGATGTTTTAAAAAAAGAGAAATAAAATTCAAGCCAAGGATAAAATTGAACCACAACTTATACAACAAATTCAGTTGGAGCCTCCAGACATAAACTGGCCAATCACAAGTCACATTTAAGACAAAGGGATCTCAGCCATAACTTTGTTAGCTTGTTCAATAGCCAATAAAAAACGAGGACATTTGTTTATAATTCAATTTAAGTATTTACAGTCCTCGTTGAATTTTAATTTACTCTGTAAAAATCCTGACAAATGTTCCCTTCAGGAAATATCCCTACTTCCCCATAGAGGGTTCAATCCAGAACCCCTTGGAAATTCCAGTTTTTCTGGTTAAAGAAAAAAACTATCCAACTTCTTTTCTCCATAAGTGTTGTTTAAAGCTAAAGTAGAGCTTCTCACCTGCCGTTCCTCACCAAACAGCCA